TTGGGGGTGGGAGGAAGACTTTTAAAAAATAAAAATAAGTAGGATTAGAGGACCCATTTGACCCAGCTATTCCCCTTCTGGGTATCTCCCCAAAAGAATAAAAATATCATACCACAGCAATGTATGTGAATTCATGTTTATAGCAGCACAATTTGTAATAGCTAAATCTTGTAAACAACCCAAATGCCCATCAACCAAGGAATGGCTAAAAAAGATGTGGGTTTTTTTATAATGGAGTACTTCTCAGCCATAAAGAAGGATAAACTTGAGACTTTTATAGGTAAATGGATGCAATTCAAGACCATACTCATAAGGGAAATAAATCAGATGCACATATGTAAATATTGTATTGTCTCACTAGTGTGAGTAACTGAAGGAGTAAGATCCAAAATGTACAATAGATATTGTGAATAGGGAAGAAACTGTTCAAAAGAAAAGACAAACTGTGATGGGGGAAAGGGTAAAGGACAAAAGGGAAACAGAAGAAAATATTTATAAACAAGATAGTTAAGATAGTCATACAGCTGGCTTCTCTTAGTTCACTGAAAAGAAAGGTTTGTGCTAATATTGTTTGGACAATATTTCATGCCTGTATCTTGTACTCGGAATAACTACTATGAAGATGACAATACATAATCTATTAATTATTGTTACTCTCCTACTAGCCTGTTTTGAAACTCTCTTTTATTATTATTTTTATTTTTTTCTCTTTAAAATTAAAAAAAAAGAAAAGAAAATGCAGTTTTTGTTGGGGAGGAGGGTACTAGGGGTTGAATGCAAGGTCTTTCCATGTATTGTTCTTTTTATTTTTTATTTTTTTGAGATAAGATTTTACTAAGTTGCCCCAGCTGGGTTATAGCATGGAATTCTAGGCATGTATCACCATGCCCACCTAGAAAATACAAATTTTTAAAAATGAAAATCACCAGTACTTAGAATTAGCCACCATCAGGAAATTTTAAAGAAACTTTTTAACCAAAGAGAGAATCCTATCTCCATCTTATGTGTTGAAGTAAAAATAAGTTCAGATCAGATCATTAGATGAAATCCCCTACACCCTGTACCACTGGGGATTGAACCCATGACTTCGCACATGCTAAGCAAACACTCTACCACATCCCAGCCTCAATAGTATTTTTTTCTATGACAGCCTGTAATCATGTGTTAGGTTTAATTGTGTCTTCAGTCTCCTTTGGTCCACAATAGTTGCTTAGTCTTCTTTTGACTTTCATGGCCATGCCAGTCTTGAAGACTACAGATAAATGATTTTGTAGCGTGTCCCAATTTTGACTTTTCTGGTGCTTCCTCATTGTTAGATACATCTGTGGTAGAGATGTCAGAGAAGTGATGCTGTGTTTTTCCCATTGAATCAAGTTGGGAGTGCATGATTTCAATTTGTCTAATAACTAATGATGTTCACCTTAATGCCCTGCTTGAGGTGGTGTTTGCCAGCTTTTCCTCTGTGGAAGTTATTTTCCTCCTTTGTGATTAATACTTTTTTGGAGTACTATGAAACTATAACTGTCCTATTCATCAAACCTTCGATTTATTCACTTAGTTTTATTTGTTTCCTATTTTTTTGTAATGGGTTTAATCTATTACTAATATTACTTTGATGCTCATATTGTCCCAGTTTGAACAGGAGGAGTCCCTTCAGTGTAGCTTCTTTGTCTTTTGACATGTCATTTTCCTTCTGTCAGCACATTCTTGCTTCCAGAATGAGATGGCCTGAGCTTATCTTATATGTTCCATGTGCTAGCCTTGGAACCAGCCATTTCTTTTAGTGGATCTGGACATAGATGTACTCTTTGCTCTTGGGTTGTCTTTATTTCTGGATCCTCTTTTATTAATTTTACTAAATAATTACCCATTAACTCTTAATGTAAAAAAAAAAAACCCTCTTAATGTATTTCTTTTGTCCTGTTCTCTCCATCTTTGCCTCCTGGAACTCCAATTACATATGTGTTAGACCATTTGGTAATGTCACATATATCTTGAATGCTTTGTTCTGACTTTTTCCCCATCCTTTTCTTTCTGTATTTCAGCTTGGTAATTTCTGTTTCTCTCTCTTGAAAGTACATAGGGTCCAGTAATAAGACAGTTGAAGAAATTTCTTAAACTCTTATATTATCTTTTATCTTCTTTTTTTAACATTTCTGTTTGACTTTGTTTGTCTGTTTGTTTGTGGCAGTGTCTCACTGTGTAGTTCAGGCTGGCCTTGAATTCATTATGTAGCCCAGGATGGCCTCAACATCACAGTAATCCTCCTGCCTTAACTTCCTAAGTACCAAGATTACCATTGTGCACCACCACACCTGGCTTGACTTGTTCTTATAGTTTCCAGCTCTCTGCCTAAATTTCTTACTGGTCCGTAAATGTTGTTGTCTATCTTTCACTAGCTCTTTCAACATAAACATATTAATCATAGTTATTTTAAAGTTCTTGTCTGATCAAACATCTAGCTCATCCCAGAGTCTGGCTCTATTGATTTCTAGACAGTGGGGGTTTTCTCCCTAGAGTCTTCAAGTTCTTTGAGTGGTAGTCTCCATAATAGCCATGAAATGGCTGGACTTACACACATAGGCTTCACAGGCCTTCAGCAGTGAGCTGCTGTTTCTTGGAATTTGAGGTTGCTAAAAGGCTTCCTGCAGTATTTCTGCTTCACCTTCAGCTTTCAGCTGCTTTAGCACATGTGTACCACAGGGTGGTGCTGGAGCTTCCTTCTCAAGTGCTGCCCTACCTGCTGCCCTAAACACCTGCCCTGTGTTCCAGGCTGAGCCTCTTAGTGAGGGCAAGTGGGGTTCTTGGGTCTCCTGTGTTAGGTACAGCGTTAGGCAGTCCCCTCTGAGGGCAGGGCTTTTTCAGTATTCGTGCCTCTCCTTTCTGTAGCAGCCAAATTTTGTCTTTTCACTTGAGGTGAGTCTCGGGCAGAAGATATTTTCCTGCCACTCTGGAGAGCTGGAAAAGTAGCAGATCCATACTTCAGATCAGTGAACTATTGTGGCCTCAAGAAGATCCCCTACTACTCTCCCAGGAGTAGAGTGTTTGCTTCTACCCTCCCAGGGAGCAGTGGATCTTTGCCTGGTCCCTAATGGCAGGTGCAATTCCTAATTTTTTTCTTATAACTCCATGAGAAAAACATGTAGGGAAGTGTGTAGGTTTTATACTGGCTCTTCCCCCCCACCACCACCACCCCTGCTTTTTTTTGAGATACTGTCTCACTATGCAGTCCAGGCTGGCCTTAAACTCATTATGGAGTCTAGGCTGGCCTTGAATTCTTGTCAATCCTCCTGCCTCAGCCTTCCAAGTGCTGGAATTACAGGCATGTCCCACCATGCCACCATGCCCAGCTTATACCAGCTCTGAGAACAATCAGTTGCCTAGTGGTTTTTGGTTTTGGTTTTGAGTTTGAGTTTGGTTTGATTTTTTGAGACAGAGTCTTTCTATATAGTTCAGGCTGGCTTTGAACTCACAGCAACTCCTCCTGCCTCAGCCTTCGGAGTACTGGGATTATAGGTATGTTCCTCCACAACCAGCTAGCCTGGTCTGATGAGAACTAAGTAGAAGCCTCTAGGAAAGAACTTGCCTGTGAGTAGGAAATCTTGTGTCTGTCTGAGGCTGCCAGAAATTCCACATAACACACTTTGCCTCACTTATCCTTTAATTAAATTTTAGCTAATATTTCTTACCCTCGTGTGTGGTAACCACCTCTTCTTCCCTCCCCTCCCCTGCCAAAGGTGAAACAATATCCCTCCTCTCTTTGAAGGACTTACCACTCTGGAGTTCAGTTCGCTTGGTTGCTTTACAACTTTAGTTCTTTGATGGGGTAAAGTAGCCTTTGTAGGTTATACAGCCTTTTCTTGTTCAGGTGGATGTTGCTTTTGCTTTCTACATCCTAAGAAGCAGAACTGCAAGTGTTTTTTGTAAATTCAGTATTTTGGCTCTGAAATCCTTTAATTAAATCTTATGGGGAGGGGCAGATCTGCTAAATAGGTAAAATCATAGCACTTAGCTGTAGCCCCCTGCCATGCCTCCCCTAGAATACTGAATGCCTTCCATGCCCTCTGCTCAGAACACTAAATAGGTTCTATAGAGCAGTTTGAAAATAACTGATCTAAGTCATTCCTGATGTACCTTTCACTGTCAGATACACAGACTTAATCTTTTGGACTGACTATGTGGTGCAAGTGTGTTCATTTCCTGCCTTGTCTTTTACACAGGTGCTTATGGAAACTCTGGGTGCTCTGGGGGCACAGTGCCGATGGGCTGCCTGCAATATCTACTCTACTCTCAATGAAGTAGCTGCTGCTCTAGCAGAAAGTGGTAAGATCTTTCTGTCTTTGGCCAAAGTATGTCTCTGATAAGTTCCATTAGTTCCATGGAAGTCTAAGGAAGGTTCACAGTGAAAGGCTGCCTTGGTAAAAATGGATCCGCTCCTCTTGATTAGTTTTCTTCCTTTCAGGGCTTCTCTTGTCAAACAATAGCTACCTATATCTAATATTCCATTATTCATGCTCTGCTTTGACTTGGTAATAGAACACCAGCAAATACTCCTACTGTCTAAGGTAGTATAGATTAGAGAATGCCTCTATAGTTTTGTAGCCCAGCTGGTTTTCTAGCAAGTAGTTCACCCTGGTTTAATGTTTGGTGTTTCTGCTTCAGCAGGAAAGAGGACTTGACCTAGAAGATTAATATTTGATCACAACATCCACTGATACTTGAAGGACAAAAGACAGAGGAATTTGAACTTTGCTGGCTTCCTGCCTTCACTCTCTGGCAGCAATATGTAGATCAGGATAGCAAACACCTACTTCAGAGCTCCTGAAAAACAATGGAAACTCATATAAAGGATGCATATATCTCCTACAGCTAATGTTCTTGACATTTCATTTGTATTTACTTATTTTATAAAATGTTATTGATGTATATATATATAGAAAAACACATACAAAAAAATTTTTTTTGAGATAGGGTCTCACTATATAGTTCAGGCTGAACTTGAACTCACCATATACCACAGGCTGGTGTCAGACTTGCAGTGATGCTCCTGCTTCAGCCTCCTGTGTGCTGGGATTATAGGTGTGCACCACCACACACAAATATTAAATGTATACACCAATGAATTGTACATATCCATTTATTTCTCTCTCTCCTTTTTTTTTTTTTTTTTGAGACAGGATCTCACTATATAGTTCAGATTGGCTTTGAACTCACTATATAGCCCAGCCTGTCCTTAAACTCACAGCAACCCTCCTGCCTCAGCCTCTAGTACTGGAATTACAGATGTGTGCCACTATGCCTAGCATTTCTCTTTTTTCAACAAATGCTTACAGACTCACTCTAAGAGAGAAAAGAACAAATGAGACAATCTTTGCCCTCAGAATGTTGTATTATGGTAGAGAAGATAACACACATAGTAATGATAATAAAGACACATATATGAGAAATACCATGACATATCTTAAATCTGAGTTCCATACACAAGTAATAGTCTTAGCAAAGTTTAGATTTCTTGAGCGTTCGCATTTAACTGGGTTAATCAGGCTTCAAGAGAAGAATGACACTTATGTGGACCATGATGTGAAGTAATATTTTAGCAGATGAGAAAGAACGTGAGCGCTTTCTTGATGAGGAGGGTGGGGTGACTAAAGTGTAGAAACAAGAAAGATCAAAATGTAGTTGGGAGATGGTGAGAGTACTAGTTTGACTGTGTCAGAAAGCACTTGTTTCTGATTTCTTTTTTCCTTTAGTCATAGTTTTAGCAGCCATCATACTCTTGTCTATTTTGCTTGTCTTCTTTGGGCTAAGGAGAACAGAATGAGTACCAGAGACAAAGAAATGGATAAAGTCTGCTAGTCAGTGAAGAAAGTCAATCCATACAGCAGAGTTTGGAGTTGGGGAAAACTAGTACCTTCTGGCTAAAACTTGAGAAGTCAGCCCTTTTTGCAGCCTTAATATTTTTATTTTTTCTTTTTTCATAGGATTTCCTGTCTTTGCCTGGAAAGGAGAGTCAGAAGATGACTTTTGGTGGTGCATTGATAGATGTGTGAATGTGGAGGGCTGGCAGCCAAACATGGTGGGTTAGATTTCTGCTAACAGCTCTGTAGGGATGGGGACTGGGATGGGAAGAGGCTGTGGCCTGGGAGAGGGTTTCCTAACAAGAAGGAAAGAAGTGGCGTCCTTTCTGGCTGATGTGCCTGGGTTTCCAGTGGAAACTCAGTGCTTCTGCTTATGGAGCCCCAAGAGTATTGAACCTCTTACAACTTCAAAGTGCTTTAATTGTTGCTGCTGATGTTGAAAGCATTGATATTCATTAGTAACATGAAGGTGCTGCTCAAGATCCACACGTAGCTGCTGAAAAAGCAAGGGTAATGCATTTTCATTTCCTTCCACTGCTTGTTACCCTCCCACCACCACCGCGCGCCAGCAACCACCAAAAACACCAATCAAAAAACCCCACAGCTCCTGGGGGACTCAGCTGTCTCTCTAGAATCCTTATACTGAGTTTACAGTATACCTGAAGAGCTTCCAAGTTCAAATATCTTCTTTTTATTCATTGCTAACTAAAAAAAAATGACCTGGCAAAGTTTGAGGTTTTCAAATTTTTGTTTCATTTTTTAAAAAATCAAGTCTTAAAGGCAGATAGCAGATCAGATTCACAGAGTGAGAAAGCTACGTCAAGCATGAGGCACTCTTGCTTCGCAAATGTTTCTGCATATTAGTGAGAGGAGAAGGTAAGAAATCAGCTGAGACAAGAAGCCATTGATTGCTGTGCAGAGCAGGCCTCACCTGGTAGCTGGCAGAGCAGCAACGTCTTTCTAAATGCTTGGATCCAGGTCACATGGCATGAAGTGCTGGTTTGAGGAAGCCGGGTTAAAGCCTTCCTGTCCCAGAGGAGGTAACAGTGGCTCCAAGATGACTCAGCTCATTCCAACAATTTTAACAGTGACAGGAGGGAGCATGACTGCCAGACACTAAAAAAGATATGCCAGAGGGGTTCTCCTGGGAATAAGCACAGGGAGGATATTGGAGTGTATCCAGTGAGCTTTTTTGTTTTGTTTTGGGATTTTTGAGACAAAGTCTTGCTATGTTGCCCAGGCCAGCCTTGAACTCATGGTGATCCTCCTGCCTCAGCCTCCCAAGTGCTAAGACTACAGGTGTGCGCCATCACACCCAGCTTACCCAGAGAGCTTTTACAAACTGTGGGGCTAACACAAACTGCTAGAAAGTTTAGTGAAGAAAATTAGACAAGGATAAAAAGGTATATCCCAGAAAGTGGGATCCATACCTCTCTGGATCCTGTCAAGGACCAATACTTTTCCTTGCTTTCTAACCTCAGGAAGATTCCCTGATGACCAGAACTTTCTGCAGTAGCATTGCGTGGGAGAACTACATTCATTATATAAATATTAGAAAAAGCAGCTGCCTTCCTGTATCTCATGGCTTTGTTAAAAGGAAAAGTAGACAAGAATAATGGTACATACCACAGTTTCCAATTATTTAGTCCAATTTGTCTCTGACTTTTTCTGTGGCTAGAGATTAGAGAATCAAAGGGAAACTCCATGGGATGTAATACGTGCAAAAATAGGAGGGAGAAACTCAGAAAATACTTTGGCTTTCTTAGGCATTGGCTGTGAGGGTTTCTGCTTGTACTGTGGAGCAAGCATAAGAATTTTAATGAGAATGCTATCGGATCGCTGATCTCAAACAAGATTTAATTCACTCAGAAAAAATGGATCAATAGCAGGAACATAAGTGAAAAAGAGATTAGTTAGTAGACACGAGGTTAGGGAGTTTGTGTACTGTGGGGTCCACAGAGGCATTTGGGCCCTGATAGTTGTGATGGAACTGCAAAGTGAGGGCATGCCAGCAGAGGGCAACTCAGTCCTATGAGGACTTTCCAGGAAGATGGGTATAGCAATGTACAAAGTTCTGCTGAGTGCCTCTAATAGCCCAGTGGAGGGCTAGAGTGCCATAGTCTAGTGCCTAGCAGTATTCTAAGATGTTCTTTCTTTAGCTTATTTATAGTTCAGAAACTTTCTCTACTGATGAAAGCTCCAGTGGGCACAGCATTGTGTTGATCTTTAATTCCAACCTGAAATAGTGATGAGCTGTTCACAGGCATGCTTACACACCTACATGCTGCATGGTTCCCTGGTTATTTTTAATTTGGTTTATACAGAGTGTGAGGTTGTGCTCGGCAAAACCCCACAATGCTGCCTGATATGTTGGGTGGGAGAATGCCTGTACTTTGGGAGAAGTAAAAAAAAATGATTAATGAATACAGTTTTATAAGCCATTTTTCTGAGGAGACTAATTGTTCTTTTCCTTAAAGTAAGCTGCTGTTGAATATGTTGAAATTCCTCAATTTAACCAACAGAGATTGACTATATCAATTTCAGGTTTTCTGAAGATCTACAGCATATGCAAGAACTGGTGGTCTAAATAACCACTTAAGTCATCAGTCTATAACAAAATCCTCATTACATGTAAATTTTAATATAGATGTGTCATGTGGGGGGCATTTGGGTATAGCTTTATAATTGACCTTTTGCCTCTCATTTACTTGTGCCTAATGATTACATATTTCGTATATTATTGCATTCACTCTGGCTTTAGGTTACTTCATATAACCATTTGAGAAATTTGAAATACCTGTAAATTGGTAATGAGAAATTTGGATATAAGACCCAGAGATGCACTGAAGCCTTGAACCTTCCAGCAAAACAAATGACATTACTGGTGCTTACCTTTTGCAGATCTTAGATGATGGAGGGGATCTTACTCACTGGATTTATAAAAAGTATCCCAACATGTTTAAGAAAATCAAAGGCATAGTGGAGGAGAGTGTTACTGGAGTCCACAGGTATGATTTCACATGGGCATACCTAGCTTGATGCAGCTGAAGCATATACTCTTGAAATCACACGCTAGTAGAACATTGTGTTAAAGATTGAACCCTGCTATTAGCTGACCAAATCTGTACACTTGCTTTTTAAATTAATAACACAAATAACAAATAAAATAGTGAGAGACAGACAGGCAAGGGAACAGGTGGGGTCCTCATGTTTTCTAATCATTGTAATACAGGGACTGTTTGTTCTTTTTGGATTAATTCATTTTTCAACAAATACTGCTTGAACTTCTACAGCACTGGTGGCGAACCCATGGCCACTGTTGCATGGCACAGTGGGATGTTTGTATCATTGAAAGTGCTAAAAGGTTTGCTGTCACTGTTCTACAGTAAGCCGAGAATTGCTCTAGGGGTAGGGGTCTAGAAATAGACAAAATTGACAAAAACCTGTGCCCTTGCGGAGCTTATATGCTTATATAGAGAATAAGGACATAGGGTTTTGTTTGCAAATGAGCAGTGATTCTCTGAGTGAAATTGGAATCATTTCTTTTTTTGAGGGGGAATCATTGCTGTTTTTCACACAGCAGGACCTGAAAAGTATGAAATAAATTTTTAGGGAAGTAAATTTTGAATTAGCCACTATAATTGCGTGATTGTATTACGATCTCTTAATATACAAAACTATGGATGATAGCATACGTTCAGACTCTTAGAAAGGGATAAATGTTGAATAAAACAAATAGTTTTTCTAGGCATGGTGGTGCATCACTATAATCCCAGTACTCAGGAGGCTATGAGTTCAAGGCCAGCCTGAACTACATGGTAAGACTGTTTCAAAAACAAAAACAGGCCAGGCATGCTGGCGTATGCCTATAATCCCAGCACTCTGGAGGCTGAAGCAGGAGGATTGTTGCAAGTTTGAGACCAGCCTAGGTGGGCTACAAAGTGAGCTCAAGGCCAGACTGAGCTGCATAGTAAGACCCTGTCTCAAAAAGACAAAAAAAAAAAAAAAAACCTCTTTATAGAAATAGACATAGTCATAAGTATGTGTTTTGAGATTATAAATTAGAGGCTAGCTGAATGTTAAAATTCTTCTATGGTAGTAGTTTAATTCCCAGCACTGCAAAAAAAAATTTAATAAAATAAAAAATAAAAGCACTTGCTGAGCCAGGCATGGTAGTGCAAACCTGTAATCCCAGAACTCAAGAGGCTGAGGCAGGAGGATTGCCACAAGTTTAAGGCCAGCTTGGGCTATGTAGTGAGTTCAAGGCCAGCCAAAACTACACAGCAAGACCCTGTCTCAAAAAACCAAATGAATGAATACATACATTACATATATGCACTTGCCTACAGTAATAGACTTATGCATAATTTTAAAGTAATACAGTTCTTTCTTTTATAAGTAAAATGAGGTATAAAATAAATCAATTTAAAGTTTCATTTAAAATCTTAAAATTAAGAATTAAGTCAAGCATTTTCCCCACATGACTTTTTTTTTTATGTTGTTTGAGACAAGTTCTTGCTTTGTAGTTCAGGCTGATTGAATTCACTGTATAGCCCAAACTGACCTCAAACTTGCAGTAATCTTTCTGCCTGTGCCTCCTGGGTATTGACATTACAGGCATGTGCCACTGCACCCAGCCCCATGTGACTTTTGAATGAGATCTTTATTTCTTTTTTTTTTTTTTTGTCTTTTTGAGACAGGGTCTCTCTGTGCAGTTCAAGCTGGCCTTGAGCTCACTTTGTAGCCCAGGCTGGTCTCGAACTTGCAACGATCCTCCTGCCTCAGCCTCCTGAGTACTGAGATTACAGGTGTGCACCACCACACCTGGCTGAGATCTTTATTTCTACACTGTGTACAGTCTCTAAAAACACATTACAGTACTTCTAAATTTTCACCCAACAAGACAAAACTAGTCATGTTGAGTAAAATAAATAGTTTTGCCAGGCATGATGGTGCATTACTATAATTCCAGTACTCAGGAGCCTATGAGTGCAAGGCCAGCCTGAAGTACTTCTCATGGCCTTATTTCTAGGATTTAAAATGAAACCAATAGTAGATTTTAATGTCATTATTGTATGTTTTTCTTGACTTCTCTTATCCCCAGGCTATACCAACTGTCCAAAGCTGGGAAGCTCTGTGTTCCAGCCATGAATGTCAATGACTCAGTCACCAAACAGAAATTTGACAACCTCTACTGTTGCCGTGAATCAATTCTTGATGGGTAACACTTACTATCTTTGAGATGAACTTGAGTTTTGAGTTGTTGAGTTAAGGTTCTGATTTTTTTATTTTTTGGTTATTTACAGAAATTATTCATATGGCTCCTCTGGATCTATCCCCACATCACACCCAGTATTTTATAACTCAGAGCTACATTGCCATCACTATTTTAAGAGAATCTATTTCACTTAAGAGTGAGACTAGCTCCTGTGTATTGAGGGTGGAGTTCTTACTTTGTGACCCCATCAGGTCTGTGAGTCATTAACTAAAGTCAGTATTAACAAGCAAATACCTTCTAGTTTAGAAAACTTCCCGGTGATGGTATTCCAGGTTGTGGCTCCTGTTCTAACTGTGTATAATTCTAAATATCATACAATTCTCTGATCACCCGGAAACTTGTGGTGAGCAGAACCGGTTCACACTTGGATATATACCAAATACTATGTTCTTTTAATATTTAGTTTCTGTTTCCACACTTGCATTCTGACATTCCTTTGTTGTTGCCAGGAAGACTGCATGTAGTAGTCAGCTTTCAGTTATTGTAACAAGTACATGAAATACCTTATAAAAACAGAAGCTTATTTTGGTTTACAGTTTTACAGGCTTACGTCCACGGTGAGTTGGCCCCATTGCTTTTGCGCCTGTAGGAAGGTAGCACGTCATGCCAGAAAATGCATAGTAGAATAAAGCTTCTTACCTCATGGCCAAGACAGGAAAGAAAAGGAAGAAGAAGAAGCTGGGGTTGCACTGTACCCTTCAAAGATATGTCCCCAGTGACAGGAAGACTTCCCACTAGGCCCTACCTCTTCAGGTTTTCGTTACCTCCCAATGGCACCAAGCTATGGACCAAGTCATTAATACCTCCTTAAGCCAGTGGTAGTGAACCTGTAGCATTCATGCTGCAACGAGCCATTTGTATCACTGAAAGCTCTAAAATATTCACTATCACTGCCTTAACCCTTTAACCTTTAGGAGATGTTCCAGATCCAAATTATAGCACCATATAATAAGCCATTAAGTGAAGCTATTAAGATGGTTTAGAAAATTGCCAAATCAAATGGTTTCATTGCTTATAGTATATTAGTCAGCTTTTCATGGGTGTGACCTGATGAAAACCTTCAAGGAAGAAAGATTTATTTTGGTTCACAGTTTCAGAGGTTTCAATCTATGGTTGGTTGGTTCTACTGCTGTGGACTTGAGGTGAGGCAGAACATCATGACAGAAGGGTGCAGTGAAGTAACCCTGCTCACGGCATGGCAGCTGGGAAACAGAGAGCAAGGGAAAGAGCCTGAGAAAAGTCAGGCCCCTCAGAGTCATGCCCCTAATGACCCACTTCCTCCAACTAGGCCCCACCCCCTAAAGAGCTCATTCAGCTATGAGCTCATCATTGAGTTAATCGATTGATGAGGTGAGTGCCCTCGCTGTCTAATCACCAATCAAGTCAATAACCAAGATTAAACGTCACATACAGTTTAATGGAAACATGAAGAAAGGTTCTGTGGGCCATGTTACTAACCAGTCCAGATCTCAGGCAATTTACTGGTGGCTCCACAGGCATTGGAGCCAGACAGACCTTAATTTGAATACTGGCTGTTTTTATTTAATAACTGTAATTCCATGGACTAGTTAGTTGCTTAATCTCTCAGTGCACATTTCTGCACCTGTGAAATGGTGACAGTAAGACCTACCTCATGGAATACTGTGAGGATTAAATGAGATAAGGTGAATTGCCTAGTGTTAGTTCCCTTGCACTTGTTTCTAGAACTCTGTACAGTAAGTTTTAGAGTTAAGTTAAATCTTAGGGAAATTTTTCTGCTTTAATATCTTCTTGAAAGCCAGGCATGGTGTCACAGGCCTGTAATCCCAGCACTCAGGAGGCTGAGGCAGGAGGATTGTTGCAAGTTTGAGGCCAGCCTGGGCTACCAAGTGAGTTCAAGGCCTGCCTGAACTGCACAATGAGACCTGGCCTCAAAAAAAAATCTTTTTGATTCAGGAAATGGCTGTGGCATTTTCTGTTGTTATTACGACCATAGGGTCAGTAGTATTATCAAATATACTGACTATTTTAGTGTATTCTTAATCCATCAGTTTGTTATAGACTGTCTCTAGTTCTGTCCACATATATGGGTTATTATAACAGATATCTTGAATCTGATCAAATCAGTACCAGTTCAGATATATTTCATTAAAATATTTACTTATCCCCAACTAAGTGTCTTTTAGACTTTTCAAGTCCAAAATCTTTCAGCTTAAAATCTGTCTATACCAGATTCAATAAAAAATGCAGGTAGGCTGGGAATGGGGGCACATGCCTGTAACCCCAGCACTGGGGAGGCTGAGGCAGGAGGATTGCTGTGAATTTGAGGCCAGCATAGGCTACGAAGTGAGTTCAAGGCCAGCCTGAACTGCATAGTGAAACCCTGTCTCAAAAAGACCAAAAAAAAAAAAAAAAAAAAACAAAAACAAAAAACACAAAATAGGTACCCATACTAACTAGTTCATAAAAATGGGTAGAATCCCTCTCAGCTGAGTTTATCCTATAGGTAAGAGTCAGAAATGTATGAAAGTGACAAGATAGAAGCAGTTGAACTAGAGTTAAGGTTAGATTTCACAGTGAAAAAATAGGAAAATATCAACTATTCATCAGAACCTTGTGAGTCATAAGAGCTCATTGATACCTGCAGATGGTAAAAAATTTTCCAGTTGGGTCACCTCCTCTCAGAGGAGAGGAGACGTAAGAGGAGGGATAAACTGTACTCAGGGAATCCTGCAATGGAAAAGAGAGGACAGTTGGGCTAATAGAGCATGTGTATGAAGAAGGTATTGGTGATGGACCTCCTGTGCTTGTGGGCTGGACAGGCAGGACCACCATAAATGAGAGAAACTCCACTGTCTTGTAGAGGACTCTTCTGGAATTGGACTGTGGTGCCAAATGCAGTGCAAGTACAGCCTTCTGGAGACTGGGTTCCATTTGGCAGATAGAGGATAGCCTTGGAGCTCCAAAGGAGCCCAGGCAGGATTTCCAGATCCTAACGTAGACTGTTACAGGAGCTCTTCTACTACAGGGTCCTGGGGCTAGAAGAATTAGTAAGAAGTCAGAGAATTGGCACAGCTCTTACTCAGCACCAGATGGTTTATTGCCCTAGGGCCCCTCAAAATTCTTCCTTGACTGAGGTCTTTTCTGTCCTTTATCCTTTCACTTTGAGGCAGATCTGGGCCCCTAAGACCACAAGGAAACTGCCTAACTAAAATTGGTATGTGTCTGTCACCGAACTGCTGTTTTTAGAAGTGGCAGTGTTGACCATGTCTCCATCCCACCACAGCCATTTGTAGTCGCAGAGAGAGAGTATCTTCCTTTCAGAAGGAAAACAAAACAAGTTAGAAACTCAATCAAACCTCACGGGCAAAGCGAGAGATTTTTTTTTCTGATTTAATGATGTTTTTCTTCCTAGACTTAAAAGGACAACAGATATGATGTTTGGTGGAAAGCAAGTGGTGGTCTGTGGCTATGGCGAGGTAAAGTTTACCTTTATCTTAATAGGTGTTTAAATATGCTTCACTGAAGTAGTCTAGGATTTTTCATACACAGAGACATAAGAGTATATTCATTCACTTGAGAAAAATTACTGTAGAGGCCCTGTGGTTAAAGTACAGTTTTTCTTTTCTCTTCTCATTCTTGCCATTTTTTTCCTAAGTTGATTTTCTGACTTGTTCCATCACCACTATTTGTGATGTTCTTTTAGCTTATGTTTTGATTATAAATCGTGAGTGTGGGTGTTCTTGTGCACATGAATGTGCTAAGTAGGGGCTAAGGGTTTGTTTATGAACTGCATTGTTTTTCTTGTTTTTCCCCAAGTATGAATCTGTTCAGCAAAATTCTTTTTGGGGGCGGAAAAAAGATACACTTTACCAGAAGCTTTGAGAACTGTTTTCTCACTGATTTTCCTTATTATATGCATTCTCTCTCTTCTTTAGGTGGGGAAGGGGTGCTGTGCTGCCCTGAAAGCCATGGGCTCCATTGTGTATGTAACTGAAATTGACCCCATCTGTGCCCTGCAGGCCTGGTAAGTGTGCAGAGTCCTGCTCCCTCCTCTACACTGTCTAACATGCCTCCAGAGAGTAGTCTGGGTCATGCCACGTCGCACAGTAGAGAGGCCCAGATCCCGAGAGAGGCTGCTGGAACTGTAAGCATCTAACTTTCAGAGGTCAAGAAGCTCTGATCTGACAGAAGATGAAATTTAGAATTCCTATGAAAATATATCAGGAGATGCTTTGCGAGAGGACAAATAGCCTTTTACTTCCTCCATATGTAAGCCCCGTGCCTTACAGAACAATGATCAGAACAGCAGGGGGGCTGAGCATGTAGCTCAGTGGTAGATCATAGAGCATGTGTGTTATGGTTTGAATCTGTGTGCCCCCCCAAAGCCTTAAGCGGCCAGGCTTGAGGGGCAGGCTTTTAGAGTTTGGTGGGTGTGAGAGCTACACCCGCCCTGGGGTGGATAGTTTGCATATGTAAGGGAGAGGAAAAGGGTGCTTGAGGCGATTCCTTCCCGATTCCGCCCTTGTGTGTGCTTGCGGCTTAGCTGTGTGCTGCCGCCCTGAGATGCAGCCCTCTGCCACGTGCCACTCTGCCTTATAATCTGCCAAGTACGAATTGAAACCTCCACGAACTGTAAGCAAAATAAACCTTTCCTTCCTTAATTTTGGGCGTCAGATATTTTGTCCCAGCAGCGAGAGAAAAGTAACCAAGACAATGTGCCTAGCTCATCAAAGGCCCTGGGTTCTATCCCCAGCACCAGAGAAAGGGAGAGGTTCTGGTATCAAATGCTCTCTGGTGTGACACCTGGAAAAGAGCTCATTTGTGATATTCTTCCTCAAAATGTATGACTTGAATCTAATCATGAAGAACTATCTGACAAATCTACATTAAGGGTAAAGTCTGCTAACTCTAGAGTGAAGGGTATGTGGGAATTTGTTTGTACTAGTCCTACAGTGCTTGTTTCAAGTGACTCCAAAATTAAAAGCTTTTTTTAAAAAGAGTAGTTTGTTTCTTACATTTAATATGTAGATAATCAAACCTACCTTATAGGATTGTAAGACTTCAATAAAATTATATTACCATGCATTATATAACAATAAGGTACAGAGCTGCTGTCACAAAATAGATATTCACTAAATGGTAGCTATTATTACTATTGTCGCTTGCCATCCTCAGTAGTGTCACTATTCCTAAAAACTTGCAGGTCCAGGTGTCCATAGTCTGTATACTTCATACAGTCTTTACCACTAACCCTCCAGAAAGAAGTCCCCAGGTAGAATAGGCATATGTGTTGGTTACTTTTCTTTTGTTGCTGAGACATAATAGCCAACGCCCAAATTAGAGGGAAAGGTTTATTTAGCTCACAGTTTGTGGAGGTTTCAGTCCATAATCAGCTGGCTCCAAGGCAGAGTGACATTGTACAGGGGCAACAGTCCAAGGTGACAAAAGACAGCAAAGCAACAAGAGCAAGAAGTAGGGAGAGCAAGCCTCTTTTCCTCCCTTATATGTAGGCTATCCGCCCTCGGGTGGGTGTATCACTCACACCATCTCCATGCCCTCCTGTTGCACAGGCTCAGGATGTTTGCAAGGTGAGGACTCTGGCTCCCTGCTAAATCACTTAATTTCTCAAGTTGACACAGTGTATCACTCATTATGCATAGCATGATGCCATTTCCCCCTGCATTACCACTCTTCATATTTCCTAGGCATAAACCCATAGATTTCCCCAGCAGAGTTACTGGTTTTCTCTAAGGCAGGGTTCCAGCATTTGAAGGGAACCATCAGTGTTCTTGTACTCTCAGCGTTCATTATAGAAGCCTGAACATGATGCTGATTGCAGTATAGTTCAGATTATCTATCTATTGTGTATTATGCTATGTGCTGATTGCAGTATAGTTCAGATTATTTATCTATTGTGTACTATGCTATGTGCTGAGGATGGTTAAGGTGTGGATAAATAAGATATGGCCCTGCTGTTAGAAGAACACAGATAAATAACCACTGTGCAGTGTAGTTAAGTGCTGTGATGAAAGTAGATGGCACATGCTTCTATAGAAGTACAAAGGAGAAACTTCTAATGGAAGAACAAGGCAGTTAGGCAGAGATCTCAATAAAGCTGTCTTGGTGGGCACGGTGGGGCACTCAAGAGTTGGAGGCAGAAGGATTGCCTCAACTTCAAGGCCAGCCTGGATTACATAGCAAGACCCTGTCTCTACATACACACACGGAAAGAGATAGGGAGGAAGGAGGGGCAGAACTGAGAAACTTGGATTTTCTTAGTTTAGAAGTCTAGGCTGTGTGCAGGGAACAAGTGCATAGTATCCGAGAAAGATAGCACAGTATATTTAAGAAGCTGTATTTGAGTATAGCTAGCAGATTTATATATATTAGTATTTAGATCTTATTCTGAAGAAAGACAGTCCCATTGAACTATTTTAAGGAAGTGATACATTCTTTTTTTGGGGCAGAGGGGTTTGAGACAGGGTCTCAATATGTAGTTCTGGCAGGGCTTGAACTCACTATGGCAGTCTTCCTGCCTCAGCTCCTGAATGCTGGGATTATAGGCATGCACCACCACGCCTGGCTAGGAAATGACAAATTCTAATTGCATTTAGGGAAGTCACCCTGCAACATGATTTTAAGAGACATAAATCTAGATGCAGTGATACTAGACCAGAGGTTACTGCTGTAATCTAGACAAGAAGTCATAAGGCCTGACTTAAGTAAGCACAGCAGTTTGGAGAGTGAGAGGACAGATTCAAGAGTTTTAAGAAATTAAGAAAATAGTATCAATCAGATTTGGTGACAACTTCAATTACATAGAGAGAGCAGTAGGTTTATGACATTCTAGTTTATTTGGCTCGAACAGTTGGGTAAACAGTGATGTATTGGGGCTGGGGATTTAGCTCAGCGGCAAAAGCGCCTGCCTGGCAAGCGCAAGGTCGTGAGTTCGGTTCCCGGTACCGGAGAAAAACCAAAAAAAAAAAAAAAAAAAAAAAACAAAAAAAACAGTGATGTATTGATCAAGATAGAAAATAAAAAGAAATAGACGGGGATGGGGTGCATAGACAATTATGAGTTTATTTTCCAATACAGTAAGTTAAGGTCTTTGTCAGACATCTGTGAGGAGCTGTTCAGTGGCTAATTTGATCCTTGTCTGTAAAGCTTCAGATAGATCGAAATTAAAGGTACAAATGTACAAATCACATGCTTAAAGTACTCATTTGCAGTGAAGGGCAAAGTATGAATGGGTACTGAAAAAATACAGGAGTCCAGGGTGGAACCTTACAGAGTACCAACATTTAAAGGTTGACTGAGATTGAGGAGAGACAGATAGAAATTAAAAGAAAAGCCAGGAGACAAAAACATGGAATCCAAGAAGTATAATAATATTTTATGTGGCAGAAGAAATCAAACGGAATAAAAGGGTAACAAATATTTTTGTGTGTTGGCATCCAGCAGATCATTGATGATCTTGGGAGGACAGTTTCAGTAGGGTTGTAGATTCAGTGGCTAAGTGGCACTTTCTGGAAATTTAGTTGGGAATCTCATGGTAAACCCTGGTTCCCTACTGTAGTAAGAAATACATTCCAGTGATATGAAGGAACCTTCTATTTTTCTTCTGTGTGAACTAAGGAAATGATTTGGATTTTTCACTAAGAGAAATAGTCCAGCTATCTCAAGTGATACTATAGGTACCAAAGGAAGTTGGTGATAACATTTGAGGGTCTGTGCCAAAGAGTCTTTCCAGATGCGATTTAGATTCATGATAATGCTTTATTTCTACAGTATGGATGGATTTCGACTGGTGAAATTAAATGAGGTCATCCGACAAGTGGACATTGTTATTACCTGTACAGGTATGGTTTTAACATATTGAGTGGCATGGTACTTGGAATGCTTCCATAGAGTACGTGAAAGATGATTGGTGATGTTCTGAACAAGGCTACACTCAAGTTTTATTTATTTATTTATCTATTTATTTTTGGAACTTGGAATTGTACTCAGGACCTTGTGCTTGCCAGGCAGGTGGTGTGCCACTGAGCTATATCCTTGGCCCAAGGCTACACTCTAAAAATCATGAGCATGATGATTGGGTGTTCATGCCATCTGCATGAGATGTGCCTCCCTCAAACCTTGTTACGATGTTGGCTCATTACCTGTCTGACATGAAAAAAAAATCCAGAAAGCCAGAAAGTGGTCCACAAAATCAATTGGCCTCTGTTGCATTCTTCCTACCTGTTTTGAGGTCTGACCAAAGGTATACCTTTTTAGGTCATACCTATAAGAATGTTTCTCTCTGTCTTTTATTACTGTTATATCTTCATCTATGCTCAACCACCTAGGAGATGGTTAGAGATGACGTGATTCATTTGTAGAGGTTTATTTGTAAAATCAGATCTTAAATTTATACTTTTTTTTTTTTTTTTTTTTTTAGTGCTTTTGATTGTACCCAGGGTCTCAGGCATGCTAAACATACACTCTACAACTGAGCTATACCTCAGGCCCCTTGATTCTTTATTTTACCTACAAAAGTGAAGTATATTTCTCTGTAATCCCTGTAATTAAGGCAAGGTTAAAGCAAAATTCTTCACAGTTAAGAGAAAGTATAAGAGGTTATTCTATTAATTCTCAAGTTAATACAATACAGCTTGAATTTTAGAGAAGAATATAGATGACTAATTTTCTTTTATAATTCTATTTTAGAGGGAGAACATCAGGATATTTTAAAAATAAAAATGTACTTGTAGCCTCAGGGAGAGCTGAGAGCAGGGAAGAGGGAGGACTTTAAAAAGCTGTTCTTATGCAGGGTGTGGTGGTCTGTGCCTGGGAGTCTGAGGCAGCAGTATTATAAGTTTGAGCCTGGCCTAGGCACTCTAACAGGACCCTATCTCAAAATAAAAAATGGAGCTGTGTGTGGTGGTACATACCTGTAATCCCAGCATTCTGGGAGGATGAGATAGGATGATCACAAGTTCAAGCTCAGCCTGGTCATCTTAGCAAGAACCTGTCTCAAAACAAAGAAAAAAAAGACTGGAGATATAGCTTAGCATGAAGGTCCTGGATTCAATCCCTGATGCTTAAAAAAATAAAGAAGCTGTTTTGCTTCACATCTGTCAATCCCCTGGATCTTTTTATTTTAACAGATTAATTGAGATGTAATTCCTGTACCATATATTGCACCCATTTAAAGTGTATAATTTGGACTGAGGGTGTAGCTTAGAGGGCCAGGGGTCAATGTCTTGCATCAAAATAAGGAAGTAAAGTGTACAATTCTGTGTTTTCTAGTAAGTTCATAGGGTTGTATAGCCATCACCGTAACCTATTTTTTATTGAGATATAACTTGCATAAAGTTAAAGCGTACAATTCAGTAGTTTTTAGTGAAGTTGTGCAGCATCCCATTATCTAATTCCAGGACATTTTCATTATCCCAAAAGAGAAACTTCATTCCATAAACAGTAACACTTATTCTATCCTTTACCCTTCTCTGGCCCTAGGCTAGCATTTTGCCTGTTCTGGTTTGTTTGTTTGTTTGTTTGTTTGTTTGAGACAGGGGCTCACTGTGCAGTGCAGGCTGGCCTTGAGTTCACTATGTAGCCCATGCTGGCTTCAAACTTACAGTGATCCTCTTGCCTCATCCCAGTACTGGGATTGCAGGCATGTACCACCATGCCTGGCAAGTTTTGCCCATTCTGGATGTTTTATATACATAGAATCATATAACATATAGTCTTGTGATTAGCTTCTTATACTTGGCATAGTATTTTCAAGGTCATCCATGTGATAACATATACCAGTACTTCATTCATGTTTATTGCTAAATAATATGGCATGAATCTACCACATTTTATTTCTCTATTAATCATTTGTTGGACATTTGCATTTTATTTTGGGGCTGTCATGAATGATGTTACTGTGGGGCTGAGGATGTAGCTCAGTGGTGGAGTATTTGTCTAACATGCACAAGGCCGTGGGTTCAATCCCCAGCACCACCAAAAACAAACCCCCCAAAATACAAATAATGCTACCATGAATATTGTATATATATAAAGTTTTACATGGACATATGTTTTCCTGGATACATACCAAAAATAGAATTGCTGGGTCATAAAGTAATTCTACTTTAAAATTTTGAGGAATTCCCAAACTATTTTTCAACCCTGGTAATCAGTATAGCAGCCAGATGTCTCGGCCAGATCACTCTCACATCCACCAAACTTTCAAAATGACTACACCATTGTACAATGCTCTCTACAATGCATATGGATTCTAATTTTTCTATATCCTTACCAATACTTGTTATTTGTCTATTTTTACCATCACAGTGACTATGAAGTGGAATCTTACTATGATTTTGATTTTCACTTCTCTAGTGATTAATGATGTTCATGTGCTTGTTGGTCATTTGTGTGTCTTCTAGAGAAATGTCTATTTAGACTTTCTGTTAATTTTTTACATTAAGTTACTTGTCTTTGGGAATCATAGGAGTTCCTTATGTATTCTGGATACAAATCCCTTTTCTGTGATACGGTTTGCAAACACTCAGTCCTATCCTGTGGGTTGTCTTTTCACTCTGTTAGTGGTATCATTTGCAATACAAAAGTTTTAAACTTTTTGGCCAGGCATGGTGGTTTTACACCATAATACCAGTTATTTGAGAGGCTGAGGCAGCAGGATCATAGTTTTAAGGCATCCTGGCAACCTAGCAAGACCCTGTCTCAGAATAAAATTTATAAAAGGGTTAGGGATATAGCTTAGAGTAGAGCTCTTGTCTGCTGTGCACAAGAGCCTGAGTTCAGTCCCTAGTACTGGAGGAAAAAAGTTTTAAATTTTGATGTAACCCAGTGTATCTATTTTTTTCTTTGGTTGTTCATGTTTAAGGTGTTATATCTAAGTAAACCATTGCCCAAACCCAAGATTTCAAAGATTTACTTCTATGGTCTTCTAAGAGTTTTATGGTTTTAGCTCTTACATTTAGGTCTATGACCCATTTGGAGTTAATTTTTATATATTGTATGAGGTGGAAGGTATACCTTCATTCCTTTTCTTGTGGGTATCTCTTCTGTTTTTAAGGTAACAAGAATGTGGTAACCAGAGAGCACTTGGACCGCATGAAGAACAGCTGCATCGTATGCAACATGGGGCATTCCAACACAGAGATTGATGTGGTAAGACCAAGTGGTTCCTTACTGGTGTGTGCTCTCTCTGTCTCTTTCCTGCCCATCCCCACAAAGTCAAGCTCAAAACCAGGAAGAGGAAAGAACAGGGTCATCATCAGCCACCCTAAACACAACTGTCCTAGCAGAGTTGTCCACATCCATTCACATACTAGCCCTATGACCTATGCTTGTGGATTCTTCAAAGCTTCCTCAGCTCAATCATTTAAAATGATTGTCTTCTTCCATCTAAGTTTGATACCTACTTATACTATAAGCCATTTTCTCTTTATCTTACGGCTTGAGGGCTGGGTAAACTCAAAACTATAAGATAAAATAAATGTGAGTCAGAATGGTAGTCAGTATTTTGGGGATGTTGGGTTTTATCATAAAAATGAGATAAGTAGGTTGGTCCATGACAAGTCAAAAGAGAGAAATTTGTGGGCTGGAATGGGTACATTGCTTAAAATTGACTGTATCTGTCAAACACTACAGTTTCTCCTTTTCTCTCTGCCTCCTCCATTGGGCTAGGTCTCCCCTTAGCATATTTTCTGAACTGTAGTAATTGAGTCTATAGAAGTCACAATCAATCCAGTACCATTATTTGTGTTCCCTACACCTGGAAAATCTTTCATGACTGTAATTCTTTAATTTAATTATATTTACCTTAAAAGTTTTCCAATTCAAGATTTTACTTGGTCCTAATAAGTTCCCCCAAGTAATAGTTAATAGAAGTGTAATTTCTTTTCAGACCTACAAAGTATCTCTCAATATGACTTTCACTGTGGCTTTAAATTTGTATGACACGACCCTTTCTCTCTGGGGTAACTGGCTCAACCATAGCATGCTTTCATCTCCACTGAGGGCTGCTCTGATTGAGCTTCAGCATTGCCAGGTAAGGATGAGTTGACTCATTGAGGGCCTTTTGACTAAGAGCTATTTTATATGGTTTCTCTTTGTAATCCTGTGGTCTACTCTTCTGTTATTAAAGGGCTGGGGTGGTGGTGGCAGGTAGCTTAGTGATAGAGGGCTTGCCTAGCATGCAGAAAGCCCTGGGCTCAGCTCCCAGCACCACTGAAAAAAAAAAAAGCTTGCAGAACAACCTACCAAGGCCTGTTTCTACTCTGAGGTGTCTCAGTATGCTGGCTCCCTTACTCTGTCCTACTGTGCTAGTTTGTTTACAGTTTAATAATTTCATTGATAGGGGCCACAGCTTTAGCTCAGTGGCACAACTGCCTGGCAAGTGTGAGGTCCTGAGTTCAGTTCCCAGTGCCCAAAAGAAAAAAAAAAGTTGGTCCCAGAGCTCAGACCCATCCTACCAGTTAGTCCAATAGGAATGAGGGCCCAAGGCATACTCTGCCTTCTACCTCTGGCCAGACTGTCATCTCCATGGAGGAGCCCCGGGTAATCATGTCTATGGAGGAAAAAGAAAACAGCCTGTTGTTAAACACAGGTGCAAGTCTCTCAGTCCTTCTTTTCAAT